CGTGCAGGAATGGAATGGAGGAAAGGTTTAGGAACTGTCCCGCCAAGGAATATGACGAAACAGTCGAGCGGTAGTGCAAGCGCAGTCTCGCTCGAGAGAACTGCTCCACCCGAAGGTGTTATGCCAGAGCCCAACCGTTTGGCACCGTTAGGTGGTCGGGATGTATGCTGTGCTCGCCGCCCAGTTGCCGGTGACGCCTCGTCCAAGCGCCCTCCTCCGGCCGCGATGCAGTCAGGTGCCCACGCGCACCCTCGCCCGGCAGCAGCAGCGGTGGATGCTTTTTGCACCCTGATGACCCGACGGGAAATGCCGGACACGGTCGTCCGACAGGAAATGCCAGACACGATCGTCTGACAGGAAATGCCGAGCACGCTTGCCCGACAGGAAAAATGCCAAGCCCTGCTTGGCCACGATGAGTGCCTTCACAAGACACCTGCGCCCGGCTGCGATATGTGCCCCATGCGAGCACACGCCCCAAGCTGCAATCCCGGTTTTCTTTCTTCCGGTAGTTCCAGGTCCAGCCCTTCAGTGCTGCCGTCCTGGTCTTCAGGCCTTTGGTCCTATTGCTTCAGCTCAAACCTCTGGCTTCCTTCGGTTGCTGATCTTCACTCGGCTTCCGAAGGTCTTCTTCTTCCACAACCAGCAGTCCACAGCTGGTTCCTTGATCCAGCTGGCGGGGTTCGGGTGGTCTTCAATCCGGCTCCGAAGGTCCAATTGAAAAGGAACTCAGGTTCGGGGTCCTCTCAATCCGGCCGCGAAGGACCAATTGAAAAGGACCAGGTCGGATTTCCCTCTTGATCCTGAAAAGGACCAATTGAAAGGGACCTAGCGGATCGGGTACTAAGAAACAGGAATCGAGGCTTCTCTCGATCCGGCCTCCTATAACGCCTACGTTGGGTTCGGGAACAACGTATGTGATCTCCGCAACGGAGTAACACACAAGGGCGATAACCTCTTCCTTTTCAGCAAGTAGGTTCAGACGGGGATTACGGGTCTTCCGAAGTCGTCCCGGTCCCGACGCCTTAATTCTTCGATGTGGACTGTATAACTTAAGGGATGAATTACTTGGGAATGAAACAGCAATTATCTTCAAACCGTTCCGTGAGAGAGTAATCACTTTTCCCTATCACTTCCCTACACTTTTTCTTTCTTCTTCTTATTGACTGCTGGTAAGATCCCCGAACGAATTGCAATAAAATCAGTTTACTATCCTACCCCTAAGCTAAACGCGAAAGAGAGCCGCGCCATCTGCGCGCTTGCGCAACTTAATTACATGAATTTGTACTATTACTCTCTCACGTTTCACTCAATATCTTTATTTATTCAAATCATATACAAATACAATTTATCAATATAGGTAGTACAAAACAATATCTACACCATGATATACATCATATCCTCATATCATAAAAAACCTTTTATTTATTAAACGAAAACTGCCTATTTTACTCACAAGTTCGAAATCGAAATTTCTTAAATATTTAACACAGAAAGTTAAAACAATGTTTCTCACTTGAATTTATACATAAGCTAACCAATACAATAGTTTAATTTACATTTTTTCTATTTATTTCACTATTTAAAACACTTTTAAATTTCTTATACAAAACTATCATTATTTCACTTATACACAGGAATTTTCACATGAAAATAACACAGAATTTACCTTTTTAGCACGTACAATTAACCTGAAATATTTTACAAGTAATTTTTACATAAATCACTGAATTACAAACATTTTAAATTTTTACATATTCGGCCTCCTAAGGGCGTGGCCAGCGTGCTTCCGTGTACTCACGCTATGTGAACAACTAACTTTGCACGGCTCTCGGCTATCAGAAAAAATTAAATTATGAAATACACCAATTTTGACCATATTAGGCAAATTAAATGCTTTTATACAATTTTCGAACTGTATGAAACTATCTTTAATCAGATAACAATATAAATGAATGTTCTCATTAATCAATCATAACAAATAGGCATTTGTTTTCGTACAAAACGTATCAAACTTATACAAAACAACATTTATGCAATTAATATCCATTAATTCTGCCTATGCACAGAGTGATTATCTCGACCGGGGAACAAATCCGATCTTTAACTTCACTTTAATATTCTTATGAATTTACATCATTTGAAAGATGATTTCAACCGGGGAACAAATCCGGTAACATAATTTATATCTTAAATTCCTTACGAATTTATTAAGCGATATTACTTAGGAAAACAAACAAACTAGTCCGGCCTGGGAGTCGAACCCAAGACCTTCATATCATTAATTCGACATTTCTTAAAGATTTAACTAAGCATTCTCTTATCAGAGCGTCGTTGCTCGTGACTGCCCCTTTTTTCATAGCAACGTCATCGGTTGATTTAATAAACTGAAACATTTTTATAGGCGCGTCGCCAACAACTATTGTTTTCGGATATATGTACTATTGTCCGTAAAATTATTACAATTACGCTATATTATTTTGCCATGGAACACTTCCCTCTGGAGTTATAAAGTAATCGGCAAACTGTTCTCTAACACAAAAAGCTGATTGTGATGCAGGCCTGCACCGTCTTTGCAAATCACTCATAGGAAACGAACCTAGTTCCCTTCGTCATGAACCTTCTAATAGGTTACCATCAGAGTCTTCAAAATCAAAAGTTTGTGGAGGTGTATATATGGATCTGGAAACTGTTTTACGTCTTAAGAAGTTATGTAAATATACACAAACAATTACCACGAGTTCATAATTGGCTGGTTTTAATGGAATAGGTTTAGTGAATACACAGAACACCACACATAAAATGCCAAAAACATTTTCTATAATACTCCTCGCTCTTGATAGTCTATAATTGAATATACGCTTTTTGTTCCCCCGTTCATGAATGCCAGGATATGGTTTCATGATGTTCTCCGTTATCGCGAAAGCACTGTAACCTACAATAACATATGGCATTTCTGGTCCGCCTTGTGTTATTGGTTCAGGACGTGGCAGTTTAAGTGAGTTTTATAACAATGCATTATAAAACGGTGTTTCCTCAAATATTCCACTGTCGGACGACCGACCCTTAGCTTTAAAATTTGCGTATATAAAGTTATAATTGCCATCTGCAATTGCTAAAAGTACCACGCTGAACTGATTTTTGTAATTGTAGTATTAACTTCCAGAATTATTTGGTGCCCCAATCAAAACGAGTTTCCCAACAATGGCTCCAATGCAATGTGGAAAATTCCATCGTATTTCAAATTTACGACTTATTTGTTTCCATTCCTGCTGATTGAATAAAACTATTATTTATGGATTTTATCGCGTTTAATTACTTTAATTTATTTTTATTATTATCCCTACGTTTCGGGTGCTTTACAGCACCCATGGTCTGACGGGGGGACTGAGATGTTTGACGTCCCAATGTCATAGTTAGTCCGGCTACCTTCAGTTTTTTTAATATTAATATTTTTTGGTCCGATTTACGCAAAACGAGCTTATAGTATCATGAAGTCTTGCAGCGGTATGCTTGGGTTTTGGTTTAATTTTGTTAATTATAGGATCCCAAGCAGATGGTAGCACCCAACCATCTTCTCTATTGAAATTTTTTTTAATTTCAATAGCCTCGCGTATCATCCTTGGTAGGAATCAGTGTTCTTTTCCGAGAATTTCTGGTTTATCAAATCTAATGTAATGGTGGGGACGATCTTGAACATGTTCGCAGACTGCAGACTTCCCGGAGCGTCGGTGCTTCACATCAGCTATATGTTCCTTCACGCGGGTTTTTATAGATCTCTTTGTTTGACCTATGTAAGAGAGACCACATTCACAATCTAGCTTGTACACACCTGCATCTTGTAGAGGAATATTACATTTGATGGATGGTAAAAATTGACTAATCTTCTTCAGCGGCTTGTAGTATGTCTTAATGGACGCTCGCTTCAAAATGTAGCCAATTTTGTCCGTGACTCCTCTGAAATATGGTAGTAGAGCAGGCGCGCGCTCGACTGCGGCCTGCTTCACTCGTTCACTGTGACGTAGGCGCGGGACCCGAAGCTTGTTGTCTTGCAATACTTGCTTGATGTGCTGAAGCTCCGCGGCCAGATGTTTTCTGTCACAGATCCCTCGTGCTCTCTGAAACAAAGATTTACCCACGGTAGCTAACTGTGAAGGATGATGGTGAGATTCACCATTTAGATATCGGTTGTTATGGGTCTTTTTCCTATACACAGTGTGACCAATAGCGTTATCAGGATTTCGGATGACTAAAACATCTAGGAAGGCTAAAGAATTATTTGTCTCTAACTCCATTGTGAATTGTATTTTAGAGTTTATGGAGTTAAGGTGGTCTAAAAATGCAGTTACTTTGTCAGATGGTAAAATTGTGAAAGTGTCGTCTACGTACCGCTTGTAGAACCTTGGATTTACAGGAGCAGTAAGAAGGGCTTTCTCCTCAAAGTCCTCCATGAATATGTCGGCGACTATGGGAGACACAGGTGAGCCCATCGCCACACCATCTACTTGCTTGTAGAACTCCTCCTTCCACAATAGATAGGAAGATGTGAGGCAATGTTCAAGTAGTATTGCATATTCTTGAGGCATGTTATTTTCTTCTAGCTTCCTAGTTACAATTGAGATGCATTCCACAATAGGTAGGCATGTAAATAGTGACTGAACATCAAAACTGACCATAGTTTCATTGTTAGCGAGATGTAGGTCTTTTATCTCACTCACAAAATGGAACGAATCCTTTGTGTGTGCTCTGGTATGTCCTCTCAGTGGTGATAGTATTTTTGCTAAGTATTGTGCCAGCTTATAAGTTGGTGAATCGATCTGGCTCACTATGGGACGTAGTGGAGCGTTTGGTTTGTGTATCTTCGGTAACCCATACAACCTCGGTGGTTTGGCACATGATGGTATTAGCTCCATTCCTGCATCGAATTTGGAACCTAAAAATATTAAAAATAATAATAAGATTATAATTTACAGGTAGATGAAAACAATGCACTTGAAAGTAGCATGGAGTTAGAGCCATCTCAATCACCAAGGCTTACATCGAATGCTACAACATCTACATCTTCAAGGAAAAGAAATAAGGCAGATGAATGCGAAAGTGAAATATTAGAGGTTTTGAAAAAGTGCGAAAAAAAGATGGATGAAAAGGAGAAGAAGGATCCATTTGATATTTATAGTGAATATATTGCTGCTGAATTAAGAAGTGTCAAAGATGCCAAGCCATGACACAAGCAAAGTACCACATTAATAATATACTGTATGAATTAAAAATGGGACGATATAATACATATGGATATCAAACGGCATCTTCTAATCAACACCAAATAATGTCCAGGAAACTGAAATAGGGGAAATTGAGAGACAGGAAACAAATGGACTAGATGCAATACAAGACGAAACAGAAGATTCGTCTATAATAAACTTAGTTAATAACTATCTCAGTGATGAATCAACAAAATAGCATATACAGTTTTTTTTTTGTGTTTTTTTATTATTAAAATACTTGATTACACAAATAGTGTTCTTGTATCTACCTTGACATATCCTGATAGTGAGTTAATTAGTTCTTGACATACATCTGGTATAATTTTGCTAATCAATTGTTTTGATACTCTGAAAGAGAACTGTATGAATGTCCAGTTGCAAGATACCGTAATGTAATAGCCAGCCTCGTTTGAGGTGAAACTGGCTGACGAATATTTGTTTCCCTTTTGGCTATTGATGGACCAATCATTTCCAGAAGATGTTCGAAATCACTTTTCGACATTCTCGTAAAGTTACAAAATGATCCATCTGTCATTCTGAGGTCACTCATCAAATTTTCTCTTTGCAAAAGATAGTTTCGAATCCACCATATTTTTCTCTTTTTTTATTAGAAATCCTATACATCAGATATAGAGAACACAACAACACTACCTCCTCGGGCAACATTTTAACTCAGACTGGCGTGTGGACAACCTGTATTGATTTAAAACATAGTTGGTAGCAACATTCTCGCCGCTCACCAACAATATTGCATGTTGTTGCTAAACAAATGTTTACCATGAATACGGGGCTTAACACTTAAATGGAACGTCTAATTGAAATAGGAAATTAACAATATTGACAAAGACAAAATGTTCCTCTTTCAAACAAGTTGAATGAGTAAGTTTCTCACCTCGTAGTAACATTCGTGTACTCGTGGACACATCACAGTTATCAATAATGTCACCGACAGAGTTGGAGAAACATGATTTCCCGAATTGACCGCAACAAAATTTTCATGTGATTCTAAAAGCGGAATAAAGATGAAACTAGCAAGATACAAATGATTCAGCAGGAACATTAAATATGTATGATATTACTTTTGGAATCGCACCGAAGGCTTAATATATGCTGACGTAAAATGGCTTCTATATTTTCTCGCTACGCTGGAACCATTAAATAAATAAATTTTATTATTTCTTTACAAAACGAAAAAAAAAACTTCAAATTGTAAATATAATATGAGGATTAATGTTGTAATTAAACCTTATTTTATATTTTCTATTTTAACTATCGTAATAAATCAAATTATAAGCTTCTTTTTATGAGGAAAATTTTTAGTTTTGATTAATATTGTATTTATTTGTTGTATAAACCGTGTTGTGACTACAAGAATACCAACTACCTCATATCATCCCGTGTGGATCTTAAGAGGCGACAGAGGAAAACAAGCCAGTTGGGCAGGAGCTTCTTTCTAATATCAACTAAAAGTAAAAAGCTGATTGACAACTTGCCTGCAAGGGAAGCAACTATGCCAAATACACCCCTCCCCCATGAGGAAATCATTGGAGGTGAACTTTGGATAGGCTTTAATAGTAATGGTTATGTAATTTTTTTTGTATATTTGTACAATATATGACAGTAAACGATTAAACAATTATTTTAATTGTTATAAGAAAACGCTGCTGCCCATCTTCTGGCTTATTTTTCATTGTATAAAACTACCAATACATGATAAAAAGGTGGCACACTTACAGATCTTTTTTTTTAAGAGAACGCTGTGACGAATTAGAATTTCGTTCGATTTCCGTCATTGTCATTAGGATATTGCATTGTTATTTGTATTGAATTTTTTATTTATTACAATTATCTGTGAGTGTATTAATAATTATTTACAACGTAGTTAAAGTAACGCTAATTCCATACTAATAAAAGCAATACGCTCGAATGCTCAAATTAATCTCGTCAAACCAAGTTGGAAGCGACAGTATTAGTAGGGTGCGGATCGTAAACTCAAAAGTGATATTTACTTTATTTTATGTAAATGAAGAAGATGAACTTCTGTAATTATTCATCATTGATAGATAAATCTAAGTCACAACAGTCCAGTCTCTTAAGAAATACTTTAGTTACTTATGCTCTTAAATTTATTCTTGAGATTTTGATATTAACCTGATTTTGAAACAGTTACTTCTTCTCCTCTTACGGACCTAAATGTTTGCATATCATTATGCAAGTTAGACAAGTGAAACAGTTACATATTTAATTAAAGAAAATGGTCACAGCAGGACTGTAAAAACTACCGTGGTATCAGCCTTCTTAGCATTGTGGGAAAACTGTATGCTAAGGTACTAATTGAAAGAGTTATGAAAGAACTGATGAAAAGATTTGGGATGTGCAAGCGGGATTTAGAAAGGGAATGGGGTGTACAGATCAAGTCTTTTCCACGCGCATGATCGTGAAGAAGTTTTGGGCGAAAAACCAAAAAGTTTTTTGTGCGTTCATGGACTTGGAAAAGGCTTATGACAGAGTGGACAGGGATGTATTATGGCAAACGCTGAAGGCATTTAGGTTGAGCGCTGGTTTAATTCAGGCATTAAAGTCTCTGTATAGGGACTCGAGTGCTTGTGTTAGAATCAACGGGGTCTACTCGGACTGGTTTGGCATCCATAAAGGTGTCAGACAGAGCTGTGTAGCTTCCCTGTGGCTATTCAACCTATTTACGGACAGTTGTTTGGAAAATTTGAAAGTTGAAGAATGCGGGTTAAGAATGGGTGAGTTAACCATCAAATGCCTTTTGTGCGCCAATGATCAAGTCATACTTGCGTCGTTGGCGGCCGTGTTGCAAATGATGGTTACATTAATAAACATGTCATTAAAAGAAAGGGGTATGAAAGTGAACGCAAGTAAGACGAAGGTTATGGTTTTTGAAAGAGAAGAAAGTAAAACGGTATGTGAAATAAGAATAGAAGGAGAGTAGAATAAGAATTGAGCAAGCGGATGTGTATTCAGCAGGGATGGGAGATATGATAAGGATATTGAACGACGAGTGAATGCAGCAAATAAAGTAAATGGGGCTCTACACTCTATTGTGAAAAGTCAGAATGTGTCAAAAAAGGCACGTATGGCAATTCACAATACTGTATTATTCCCTACTTTAACATATAGTAGTGAAAGTTAAGTGTGGTAGAAGAAGCACGAGAGTAGAATAAATGCAGTAGAAATGCGGTCGCTAAGGAGTATGTTAGGGCTGAATCTGAGTGACAGGGTGAGAAACTGTGTGATAAAAGAAGAGTGTGGTTTGCAAGATGATGCGTTGACCAGGATTAAGAAAGGAATGCTTCGGTGGTTTGGTCATGTAGAAAGAATGATTGCGGAAAGACTGACAAAGCAAATATATGTTGCAGAAGTCGAATGGAAGAGTCGGAAAGGAAAGTCCTAGGCGGAAGTTTGTCGACCAAATTGGCGATACACTAAAAATGGGCCAAATTAAGAGTACCCTTACACCTTCACAGAATTTAAATGTGATCCTTCATTGATGTGGGGCACCTTAAAGTCACTTATCGTGCGATAGAAAGGCTGTGGTCAGAATTTTTTTATGGGATAGAATCCATAATCTAGACTAGCGATGGGCTCTAAGAAACGACAGTCAATTGGGGTTCTCAATTTATAACCTCGTTCAAAAATGCACGAGGTTAAGAGACTTCCTGGCATGGAGAAACAAACAATGACTGTGTAAAAAATTTAAAATTGAAATTAAAAATGGCAGTCTTAAACACAATATTTACTGTAAAAATAATATGAGTTAATATAATAATAATAATAATAAATTTATTTATTTACAAGAAAACACGTAGCCAAAATACAATAAGTTCTGTGACTCCCACACTAGGCATGGCCTGTCTCGTGGGGGTCAAGCAAAAGATTTTACAATTGATCAAAGTGGCTATTTGTCGAAATTACGTAAAACAATTATGTGCAGCAAAGCAAAAATGACTAAAAAATTTATGAAAAATTACAGACATAACAAACAGATTCTAATTAAAAGGGGCGCGCGTGTACTTGTGGGTGAATGTGTATAAATGTGTGTGTGTGTGTGTGTGTGTGTGAGCGTATGCTAGCATGTCTGTTACATAATTCTCTAAAAATTATAAGTAAAAGGGTGAGAGATTGCAATTGGGGATAAGCTAAGTGGTTAGGTAGCCCTACGATTAAATTCTTGGGATCGGACGACAGGGCGTGCGTCAGTGCAGTCCACTACCGTTTCAACACCTATTTAAGGGTTACCAATATTTCTTCTGATTTCTCATAGTCCCAAGTCAATAAATGACCTCTCATTTTTATTTTAGCCTCATAAACGATCCCACGTTTTAAGTCGTATAAGTTGACTAATTTGTTGTAGATGCGAGGGAATTGGAACAGTCCGAAATGACGTGCGAAAGATGTTTTAACTAAGGTTGTGGGGATCTTAAACACTCTTTTATTTATTAATGTATTAAACGCCGGCAGTTTTGAAGCTTCCCTGTGCATAAATGTAAAGGCCCTCAGAAGATACAATCTACGGACACTTAAAACTTGAGCTTCTCTAAAGAGATTTGAGGTATGATAGCGCCTTGGTTTACCCATAGCTACCTTCAAAACTGCCCTCTGGGCCCTTTCCAGTACTATCAACGTAGAGGAGGATATACCACCCCACGCCATTATACAATAGCTAAGTACGGACTGACATAGTGCAAGGTAGACGGACTTTAAAATGCTGCCATCAGTAGAATCTCTCAATAGTCTCATCGTGTGTATCAGCTTACGGACCCTGGCTGATGTCACCGATATATGACTTTTAAAGTTAAGATTTTCATCTATTATAATGCCTAAATATTTAACGGAGCCGACCCTATTTATCTGGTCACAGTTACAATTTGGAGAGCTCACGGAGCGAGAACTACAGTTGTCATTGTGTACTTTAAGGCTATTGAAAAGTGAGGGTGGCGGTTCAGACGCTGCACTTTTATGAAAACAAATTAACTGCCTTTTTGAGGTGTTCAGTGTTAAGATGTTGTTATTTAACCATTTTTGTAATTTATACAACCCGGAGATGGCTGAAAAATAAGCGTCGTACCAAGATTTACCATAGAATATTATGGCTGTATCGTCAGCATAACATACAACCTCACTATTTTCAAGTTGAATTGACATAATGTCATTAATGTACGAAATAAAAAGAGTCGGCCCCAAGATGCTACCTTGAGGAACACTAAAATCTACAGATCTAAGATCGCTTGCCTGATCGCCTATTTGGACGCATTGCTTTCTATCCGACAGATAGCTGCAAAACCAGTTTAGAGCTAGACCACGAATCCCAAGAGCACTTAATTTCTTAAGGAGGATAGGGATGGATACCGTGTCGAATGCTTTAGCCAGATCGAGAAAAACACCGACACAGGATCGACCCTGATCGAGATGAGTTACAACCATATCTGTGAGAAGAGTTACTGCGTCCTCAGTTGATTTTCCCTGGCGAAAACCGAACTGACGGTCCGAGAGTATGCTATTCTTTTCATGATAGTTAGTCAGCCGCTTATGGACAATACGTTCCAGGAGCTTCGAGTAACTACCCAGGAGTGATATGGGTTGGTAATTACAAGGATCGTCCGTAGCTCCATTCTTTTATATGGGGGTAACTGCCGCAACTTTCCACTGGCTTGGGAAGACTCCCGACGAGATACTTAAGTTAAATATCGCAGCCAGGGGCACCGCGATTGTGTGGGCCACTGATTTTAAAAGTTTGTTAGTGATGCCGTCCATACCAGGCGCACTACCTGAATCAAGAGACCGGATGAGACCCAAAACTTCCAGTTCATCTGTAGGATTCATGAAAAATGAAACAACGGGTTGATCAGGAATGTGAACTTTTTCGGCAAGGGAATCTTGAGTCTCATTTAATTTTAGCGTGATAGAGTTTGCCAGCTTATTATTACCTACAGAAGCAAAGTAGGAGTTGCAAACATTGAGAGATTCTTTTACGGAGGGTCTTGAGTTGATGAGAGCCGGGGGAGAACTTGAGCTAGTATCTTTGCCAGTTATGCGGTTAATAGTACCCCAGAGTTTTTTTGGAGCATATTTATTTTTGATTATTTCTTTTTTTGCTGTAATCACGTTTTAGTCTTCTAATTAGATCTATGTAAAATTTCTATAGCGCGTATATATAAGTTTTTTAGTTGGGTTGTTTGGGTCCTTGCGATAATATATATGAAGCTTATCGCGGTGTTTAGAGCATCTGATTAAACCAGGAGTCATCCAGGGGTGTAAGGTAGTTCTGGAGCGGCTTATTACACGAGTTTTTGAATATCTCAATATTGCCTCTGATACCGTCTTAGTAAAATGAGTAACAGACTCTTCAAGAGAGCTGCAGTTTTGTTACTGTTGACCAGTCCGTTCCTTCCAGCTCTGATCTTATTGAGTCTGTGTCAACTATTACTCTTGATCGAATAGGTTTTGGTTTGTGTGTCTTTAACATTATGCCTGCCATAGTGATATCATGGTCAGTGGCAGCATTGAGATAGACTACGGACTCCGCATTAGATTTTAAGGGTACAAAAATGTGATCTATGCGGGTTTTGACCCGAGTTGGTTTGGTTATAGCTGGAAAAAGTCCGTACTCTGCTAATACATCTAAGTACTTCGTGTGCAAGTTTTTCTCAGCTGCGGACCCAATAATATTAATGTTTGTGTCTCCAGCAAAAATAAGACAAGAAGTGGGACTTACCGTTTTTAAGTAAGCGTCAAGAGAGCGAATAAATGTTTCTGAGTTGGTGTAACCAGGTGATCTGTAAGCGGCTACTACTGAGAAGTTATTTGCAACTTCTGCGAGAATACAATTACGCTCTTCAACGTTCAGCTCGGAAAAGTTGGCTGACCACTTATCTCTTATGTAGATAACGACTCCTCCTGCCCTGTTAATACACTTTTGAGAGTAAAATGATGTAAATCCTTGCAATAGAGGGATCCTTAACAAACTCATTAAGCCAGCACTCGCTGAAGACAATAGCGTCGAAATCAAGATCCAACCTTTTTAGGGTTACTAGGAAATTATCAAAGTTTTTACGCATGATTCTTATGTTCATGCTTAAAATCCTAAATGAAAATCTAGACAGAACGTCTTTACAATCCTCTGGTACCGTTATGTAGTGGCACTTTATATGAGATGACTTATCTATAGCATCTAACAATTCTAGGGAAGCCATGGGAAGATCGTGAAAAATTGATTGGAGTATTTTGGCATTAAAGAAGAGAGTGCCATATAAACATAAAAAAGGGGTGTAGATAACCACGAAATATTTTGAGGAATGTACCATGGGGGAGAAGATGTGTAGGTGTGTTAAAATGTGTGTGTGATTGCGCTTACAATTGTGAAAAGTTAAATTCAAAGTTATGATAAGTACGATGAGTATATAAGAAAAATGGCGACCATATGGACTGCAAATTAGTGACAAAATATTAATGACTAGGCTCTTGAGGCTCGGGTAATGTTTACTGAGTGGTCGCCGTATCTGGTTTGGTTTGGGCACAGAGCAGGCGCCTGAGATCATTTTAGGACCTAATACGGATTGCGGGGCTACCTTCCTTGACATCCCCTTTCCTAATAAATATGGATCCATTTCGAAGCCAGCAAAACCTGTAGCCATGTTCGACGGTGAAAGCTCTCGCAGTACAAAATAACCTTCGATTTTCGCCAGTAAGACGCTCATTTACGTAGATCAAATTTTCAGGCCCATGATTCAAAATGTCTTTACTCTTTAGGTTTTTTCTAGCTTTCGCGTGTTTAAGGAATTCCTCACGTTTAGATCGACGGGTAAAAGCAACCATCAAGGAACGATGAAGTTTACGGTTCCCACTCACGTTAGTGTTTATGTTTTGGTTTTTGGGACCAGCTCGGTGCGCATAATTCAAGTCCATATCCTGAAGCTCAATGCCCATCTTAGCGGCGACAGTTAATACCAAGTGAGTTGGGTTTTCATTTGGTGTTTCTTCTAGACTTGATATTTCCAGCTCATTTCCTAAGGCAATCTGAGCTTGGCTGTTTAGACGAGACTGCAGATCGGCAACGGTGGCCTTAAGGACATTATTTTCTTTTTCAACGGACTCAAGTGACTTAATTCGCCGATCATAGTCCGCCAGTTTGGAGTTCAAGGCGTCGAGGCATTCGCGAAGGTGGGTGATGTCGTCTCTTATATCAGTACTTATCTTGGATAACTTACAATCAAGCAGCGCGCCAAACTGGTCGTAAGTTATATAACAGGATACATTCGGAAAGCTTGCGCAAGATGTACATGATTAAATTCATATCTTCCTTTTTTCACCATCAGACAATCGGACTTTTGAGAGGGGTCTTCATCTCCTTTAATTGTTATTTCATTCATGTTATTAAATAACTTCGTGCATGTACTGCTTAATATCAATAATTTTAATGCGTAAGCAGTCTTACACCTGTGCATGCATATACTATTTGTTTTTGTATTTATACTTGATTAAAACTACTTTTACGGATTTTATCGCATTTTATTTATATTAATTTTCCATTGCAGCACCCATGGTCCCCCGTGACCATGGGTGCTGGAAAGCACCCGAAACGTCGGGTATTAAAATTAATATAAATAAAACGCGATAAAATTCGTAAAAGTAGTTTTATTCAATGTATAGTGTTCGCGTAAATATAAGAAATAATTATGTATTTATATTTCTTAAATTTTGTGTAAAATGTGATTATAAAATAAATGGTTCTTTCTTTCTTTTAATAAAAGTAACTTGGCCATATTTCGGCCATGGATTTTCAGAATGTTTCTTTACGCAAATAAAGTTAAAAAAAAATATTTCTTGAAACGTATTTAACTTTTTCATCATTATAATTGTAGGTTGGTAACCTAACATACTATATGAGTACAAGCCAACTTTGGAGTAGACAAGGCTAAACCAGCTACCACATCATATACGCCAATGTCTGACACCGATTGTCCTTATGTCATAATATAACCATACCTTTCATTGTTTTATTTCTTCTTAGCTTTCAAAATTATAAGAAGAAGTACTTAACTCATCTATTTCGTTTTTTAATGCACAAATATTATAGCTTTTACCTCGTTGCCAATCTCCTAGTTACCGTTTAATTCTTTTTCCCCATCGGTTGTCGGTTCTTCGAGCTATATGGCCGGCCCATTGCCACTTCAGCTTACTAATCCGTTGGGCTATGAAGGTCACTCTGGTTCTACTGCAAAACAATAGATATACGTCATATAACGCATGCTGTTGTGTAACATTTTAAGGAAAACTTACTTAACTCCACAGAAGCAAACATTGCGTCACGTCTGTAGCCTTTGAGAGGATTGACTGAATCTAAAGAGCAACGTGCTACTCCGAACATATTTAGCCAATAAATATAGGTATAAATTAGAAAATGTGAAATAAATGTTATGATAGTCCACATGACATATTTCTAATTACGGATAAGTTGATAGTCTAATTAAAGATATAGTACAAGCAACGCGTCTCCTCATTGTCACTTCCAATATTACATAGTGACTTTGCCAGAATATATTATAATGACGATGGCTAGCCCATTCCATGCACAATCACATCACTTTAGTCATCTTTACGACATGGTAGGCAAGTAGCATACAGTTGATAAATTCTTTTTGTAACAAGTTGAACTCATTTAGGACTTATAAGAGAAAATAATTTGTTTTTTTAAATTATGTTTTTGCCTAAATGTTAAATTTGGGTAGGTCTGTGAAGGATTCCATTTATATAATCTGATGTTATTATTACACATATTGAAAATATAAAATACAATAAGCATTTAAATATATTTACAAGGAGTTTCAAAAATTACTACATTTTACAAAACCAAAAAAGTACTTTAATTCAAAAGATCTTCTCAACTATTACAATCACGAGTCAGCAATTCACAGTTTAACAGTAATTTAAAACTAAGTGACGAAGGTAAATGGACGATGTGATAACAGTCGGCTGTAGAAAGCCAATTAACTGTACTTCCAATAGGACCGTAATGGTAACGAGAATGGTCGATCAAGTGGTCGTAGAGTTTTTATATATATATATATATATATATATATATATATATATATATATATATATATATGCGTGTTGCGAAAGTAAACGATTGAGTCGGGAAGACGAAATTTTTGCCCTAGATGAAAGTTTATCGACTAAATATACGATATATTGAAGATGGACCAGATTTAGAGTATCCTTCAGGATCGTGCAAAATGGATGCCAAATTTTTCGATACAGAATCTAATGGCTGGTAAGATTGTTAGAATAAACAATGTGTCTGGACAAATGATCGAATATGTTAGGAATAATTGCTGAGGTCGAGTACGTGTTTGGAATTCAGTGATACTTCGGACTGAATATGTTTAGTCATCATTTCCTTGAATAAGGGCTAGTAAATTTAAGGCGCACGACAATATGTGACTACACTTTAGAAAATGGGTTAAAAAAGAAAAAAGAAACAAGACTAAACAAGCATTGAATAGAGTGGTAGCTCACGGGTGCTAAGCGCTCGAGGTAAATTTTACATTACGCCAGCACCCAGGTTTTGATCCCCGCTGACACCAATGAAATAGTTAATTGCAATTTTAGGTGTTGATTTATTACGTCTTCAGTGATGAAAAACACAGGCTGTCGTTTTTTATTATTATGAGCTGTTATCAAGAATATTTTACAGCTCAACTTTGATTCGGCAGTACATATACTAAAAAATTTAGTGACATCAGTTCATTAGGCTAGCCTCTCAAACTACAAGCGACCAAATTTGACCGCTTCGATATTCCGTCAAAATTTAAGAGGTCAGATGTGACCGCCAAATCTTTAAGCGGTCAAATTCGACCACGGCGCTATTCCGTCTAACTCCTAAGCGGTCGGAATCGACCGCGCACACGCACAGCACTTTAAACCATAATACTTATATTTAGAGACTACTTTTATACGAAGAAGTTTGGCATTATAGAATCAATATGAAATTTTCTATCCTCTAGTGCAATAAAAAGTCAGTTAGTCTAGTGGATATTTATTTATAATCTACGTACATTATGTACGCCATTTCAATGTTATTGTCTTGATTTTTGGATTTTCTAGTGTTTTATAAATGTTTTACTATAGTGTTTTATTATAAAATTGTCATAAAGGTTTTTGTGTGAATATAATCTATTTATACTCTTTAAAAGGTTCTCCGGTTCTTTACACTCACCATATAAAACACAACAACAAAGCATTTACGCTGCAATTCTGTGAGAGAATGGTCCTTTCCCAGTCGAGCTGACCCATTCGTGCTAAAACCATAACAACTGTAACATGACTCTATCAGGTATAAAATATTTTCTTTACTGTTCTTCAAAACTATCTTTGATATAAGAAAAAGGCTCTCTCTTAAAAATATTACAGGGATGTTTACATATTAGGAAAATAATTTCAGAAATAAAGTTGTGGTCGCAGCTTCCATTTGCAAAATCTAATTTATTTGGCGAATCATGTATTTCAAGGCTATTGGTAAGCTTTATAACGGCGTCTCTTATATTGAGTTAGCTGCCGGGTTGATTGATGAGTTGAGAAACTTTTCAATATTAATTCTTCTATTCTTGCTTCGCAATGATGAAAACGTACGTTCCAAAATCTGTTCAGATAACCGTACATAAAACTCACATTAGCAGAATAAGTTAAATAAAAACTTTTGCGTGATTTATTGGAAATGTTGTATACTTCGTAAATAAACAGAATATGTTTAAGGGATTGAATTTACTTAAAAGTCGAATTATATCTGATAGGTAAAATTATTTTGATATTTGTAAAGAGAAAAAAAAACGAGAATGAAACAAAATTTTTTCCAAGTTTTAACCAATATCAAAAAATGCAGGAGGTACTCACTGACTGTATTTTTTAATGTCTCGGAACTTTTTCTAGGTAAATCGATGATTCTTTTTTTTTCAAATGTGGTGCTTCTCATGTGATCCCATATAAATTTGATCAAGATCTGTCCGGTAGTTTTTGAGTTATCCTTAATGATGCGTATTTAATTGATTTCGACTATATTAATGATGTTCTTATTTCA